TGAGTGCACTTCAGGGCGATCCTGCTGAGCCTTTTTATGCGTCTCTCTGTTCATACACTTGTTCTGGGAAAAGATATGTGTCAAAAGAAATCAGTTTAGTTACACTGCGTGCTGGAATACCAGACAGCAGAGAGAGACATAGCATGGAGTGAAGCACAGACAGAGAGAGACTCCTCTTTCTGCGGGTTGTTCTTGTGGTCTGAACTAGGACTGGGCAATATGGCCCAAAATTCATATCTCGATATTCTTTAGCCGGATGGTGATATATATCTCTATATTTTTTTAAAGCCATAAAGTAAGAACAAAAAGAGAGTTCTTAGTCAAAGCTGTGTCCCAGATCTCACACAGGCACTTTTATTAACATACAGGCAGATGTACATGAAAAAATTACTCAGAAATAAATTATCAGCATTTATTAAATAATAATGCTCCATAAATAAAATGAAAACAATGTTGTTTTTGTGCATAACAAAAAGCTCACAATTGTGCAGTCAAAATGTAAACTAATAGACCTGACCATAGGGCAGCTTCGATATAACGAATATATATCGGATGACGATATAAAAACGTCTTCGTTTCATTTTAGCTGATCGTTTGTTTTGTGGTGTCGCAAAATAAACTGTTTACGGAATATTTTTTCATTTGATGGTCACTGTAGTGGCTATATTAATTTGTTAAAGTTCTCTTTCTCTTATATAATATAACCACACTACGGACGGGACAAGCGCCTGTTTTTATGTTTCGTTAGCAACACACGTAAAACAATGGCATGGCTCCGCGTCGCTTGTTTGTTTTCTATTAACCTTTCACAATAAAGCTGAAGATCCTGTTGAGACTTTTTAAAATAAACTGAATCACGTGAAAGATGCAGAGTATTTACGGATGAGAAGCCGAAAAGAGTCGCCAGGTGCTAAAAATAAAAATGGACGAAAGAGAGGCAAACTTGCAGCTCCACAAGTATAATTATAACGTAACATAGACTATATCGATATAAACTATATTGTCACATCTCACATCTCATATCGATATATTTAAAAACTCGATATATCGCCCAGTCCTAGTCTGAACCCAGAAATTAAATTGATATTGGCAATCAAATTACTAAAACACTTTTAAGCACGATTGCTCAGTTGTTATCACTTTGCTTTGAGGCACCTGCTGTTGTTGTGTTTTGTCATTGTATGAATAAAATTGAAATTGAATTGAATTTTGCTTCATGCAAGGATTAGAGCTGGGCGATATGAGATTTTTTCATATCACGATATGTTTTTTTCATTTCAGGCGATAACGATATTATCACGATATAAGCCAAATAACTATATTTGTAAGATTTAAATGTGCCGTTGCTCACAAGTAAAATGTGAAATAATCAGCAGCTTGTTTTTATTTAAATATTTATTTCCCATAATAAGTTCAACAGGGTAGATGTACTTAAGGAACATGAGACTTTTTCAGATAAATAAAGGCAAATATTGCAAACTACACAAAAGGCAGCCGCTAAAGCGTTTAAGTTTCAAAATAGAACAAACGAAACAGACTAAATTGTCAATTCCACTTAGAAACAAAATATTAATTCTAAAAATAAATCTTAGTTTGTTTTACAGAAGAACAGACAAAACTGACTAACTTTTGTCAATATCAAATAAACTGAGAACTAAAAGGAAATTCTCAATCTCTCCTTGTTGTATAGCTGAGCTTTTCAAACAGTTTTAACAGTTACTTTAGTCTGACAAAAGCCGAATGACGAATTAGCGCTTCCAGTCAGAGACTGAGGCTACGTCCACACGTACACGGGTATTTTTGAAAACGGAGATTTTCCGTTTTCGTTTTAAAAAATAATCCCGTCCACACATAAAGGCAGAAATGAAGGAAAACGCTGCTATGAACATGCCAAAGCAGCAGGTGGCGCTAGATTCCTAACCGTGCAGAAATGTTGGCCAATCAGAAGTCTAGAAGCCTCGGTGGGAAAAAGTAAACAAAGCTGGGGCATAGAAGCAGAACCAGAGTCGTATGTGTGGACGACAGTAACTGTGTGTATATGTAAGCATTTAAACACTGCAGAGAGTAGAATTAACAGTAACAGTATTGTAGAAATTCATTTCACCGAAACAATAACGTGGCGCACAGTGTGACGCATGCACCAGTTTATTGTATTTCCAGACTTGCTTTCGGCACATTTACAGTGCACGCTACTCTGTTTTTTGTCAGACTTGAAATAGCCGAAATACCTTCACACTACGGAACTTCTATGGCTCTTCCGTTCGACAATCTCTCCGGCTTGGAACCATCATCTGTTTTCTCTTCGGTCACGCTCGGTTGATTTTTCTAGTCGGCACACTCATTTCCTCCATTACCGCTGGCTCCATTACCCGCTGGCTGCTTCCCAAACAAACACACGTGCGGCTTGGCATGTGCTGTGTAACAAGTCACGCGACGTGACGCTGCGGCTGTGATTGGTTCGGCTCTGCGCTACTTAATTTGGATTGGCTGACCTTTTTTTTTTTTTTTTTTTTTTTTTTTTTTTAAGAGGACAAGAGCGGCGAGGTCTATCGCGATAGCTTAATTTCTCTATCGAGTAAAAGTTATATCGCGATACATATCGTTATCGTTCTATCGCCCAGCTCTAGCAAGGATTTCTTTGAGGAACTTTGAGTACTTAACCGAGGCATAGACCTATAACTGGAATTAAACACTGGAGGTTCCCACTGGTCCTAATATTTAGGATGGGTTAAGAGAATAATCTTCTTATGGGGATCAAAAAGCTGGTGTCTTTCTGGGACCCTTTAAAGTTGTGACATTCAGATGAAGTACTCCAGGGTTTACAACAAGTTTGTATATATAGTGGGTCATGTACAGGTCCGAGTCCCCTGCACAGAAACCCTGATATCCATCCAACCATTAGTTTTTGCATAATAAAAAAGGTTAAAATGCATAGAATAAAGTGCTTTCTTGAATTATGTGTGAATGGGTAAATGAGGTTTAATACAGTTGTTTTCAGATGCCAGTCTGTCTACCATTGAGTCTCTAATCCCCTCCATTGAAAACCATGACCTTTGACCTTTGTATGAAGGGCACTGCAGGTGACAAGGAAGGTGGACATTCTGACACCACTTGGAGCATTATACTACAACACAGGTCGCTACGAGGAGGCTTTGCAGGTGTACAGAGAAGCTGTGGCCCTGCAACCGGAGAGCACCGACATCTGGCTGGCTCTCGTGAGTAGGCATACATACTTAGACTTACTAAGAATAGCATTTAGTTTCTTGTGCGTTAGTTGGAAAGGAGACCACGTGCTAACCATAACTTGTTTCACACAAAAACTCTCTATGTATGTTTCAGGCTCAGGTTTTAGCAATGGCTGGTCGTACCAAAGAGGCAGAGAAGATGATGCTCGATGTCATATCCAGAAAAGGCAACTGCATAGAATGTTACCGCCTCCTGTCTGCAATCTACAGCAAGCGTGGCAACTACACAGAGGTAGGTATCGCGTCTGCTTTACATAAGAGCAACTGCTAATGATCTTTCTGAATCTGTTGTGTTAGCACCAGCAGCGTGTACGGCTGTCAGTGTTTATGACCCAGTTTGACAGAAGAGATGGTAAATGGACTGGTAGTTATATGGCGCCTTTCTACTCCAACTGAGCACTCAAAGCACTTTTTAGTACAAGCTGCAATCACTCTCAAAAATATTCATACAAGTGTCATCGGGACACTTGTATCCACTGACACTCCGATGCATTGGTATCTTTTTTTTTTTTTTGCCTGTCCCATTTGGTTCTTTAGCCGTCAGAATTGTTGTCTGAAGACCAACAAGGATACCCAATGGATTTATTTTGCCAAATGGATCATCGTGGCATTGCCGTATTGGTCCATTTGATCGACCTTTGTTTTTATTATTTATTTTATTTTATTTTCAGTTGTTACAGACGGGACAGACATGAGTGAGGGATAGGAAAGGGAGAAAGAAAGAGGAAGGAAAAGAAAAACAGAAGGGGAGAGGGACAGTGAGAAAGGGGGGGGAAAAAAAATCTCCTGGATCACCTGTTGAGAGAAGAAGAATAGAAAACAAGCAAAAAAAACCAAAGCAACATACTAAACACAACACCATCGCATTAATCTAGCTAAGTGTAAACAGCAGTAAATACTAAATATTCAATGTTGTTGTGCAGCACGCAGGACAGACAGCGCACAATGTGCTTTGAAGTAGCAGCCAAGAAAGGTGTAATTTAAGTCTATACGAACAGTGAACACCCGTGTGCACACCTGTGTGGATCACGCGCTATTCAAATGGTTTCCACATGTAATGGTCTGCAAGAGGATGTAGAAAGCCATAGCCCCGTCCCCCAGGGCATGAAGCAGGCATGGAGGAGATCCAGGCCCCAGACATCCAGAGGCCCCAGAGTGCGAGAGCCCAAGGAGGACCACCGGAGGGGCATCCGTGCCACCCTCATGGGAAGGGCTGAGGATCCCCAGACGAGGCGTCACCCAGTAGCCACCGAGCAGAAGCTAGAGGGGGCTGCACCGGCGTGCCCGCCGGCTCTGCCGGCAGCCAGCTGTGCCAGAGTGAACCGAGCCGCAGGCCCAGAGGCCGGAGGCCCGAGGGCCCCCCGCACCCCGGAGGAGGCCTGACCGAGCAACAGGCGCCAGGCCCCGCCAGGTAGCCACCGGGAGTGAGCCGGTACATACCTGAGTGCCCAGCCCCGGACACCAAGAACCACCAATGCACCGACCCCTGAGGGCATCAGTCACCGGCAGGGAGTGTGGTGAGGGGAGATAGGCCTTGGAGGGCCTGGGAGTTCCCAGAGAGGTGGAGTCTAAGACCCGACCTGACATATAGACACAGACAAACAGGCACACACAGACACAAACATGCATTCCCACCCTCATGCACACATATACAAACACTCAGCACTCACCCAACGTAAGGATTGACATAAATGGACATGTACACACAATCACACTCCCCAAACATACTCTATACCCCGGGTCCAGGTACCCTCGCCCCCAGAGGGGGAAACAGAACCCAGACCCAAGAGATGTTACCCTTCCCCCCGGGGTGGAGGCAAGCAGACCGTCCCAGGCTCCGCAGCAGCAGGGAGGCCAATCGGACAGCCAACATCTCCTCCCAGCCCCCCCGCCCCGATGGCTAGCAGAGAACGGGGGTGTGTGAAGACCCCATACATCCCTCCTCCCGCTCATGTGTAGTGTTGCTGCGTGTTTGTCTAAAGTGCATTTAAAACAAGGGAGAGCATGGTGCTGCTGCCAGAGAGCAGCAGGTGTTAGCACGGCCCCTCCCGAGAACCCTCAATGTCTACATGGATTTAAAATTGAGAGGTGGGCACCAGCGCCAGAGGTAGGTTTGAGTACACAGACCGTCCACTGGACGCCGTTAACGTGCCCACCCTCAAGGCCCTATATATATGTGTGTGTTATGAGAGTGTAAGTAATGTGGATGTCTAAGTTGTGAGATAAAATTGAGGCACAGGTGGCCAGAAGGGGACAGAGGGGGGGAATGTCTCCCCTGCACCCTGGTGACACACCCGCACCCCAAGGCCCTACCTGTGTGGGTGAGTGTGGTGGAGCGGGAAGAGGGAGGTAGCCGGGGATGGGGAGGAAAAGGAGGGAGGGGAGGATGCCCCTCCCTAGGGCCAGCTCCCCCGCTGACCCCAGTAGGCACCCCCGTCCTCTGGTACCCACCAAGGCAAGGGAGCCCAGGTCCATCCAGACCGGGGCCTACGGTAGCACTGCCAAGCCCCACAGGACCCGGGGCAGCCCACCCTACCCCACCGCAGAGGAAACTGTACCCACCCCAACATTCAATCGTCTCCCATACTACACAAGACAACAGACACCCAGGTTAAGTTTATTCTCCACCTTTCCTATGTCTCTCCCCCACCTGCAGAGTGGACTCCTGCAAGGATGCATTGGTATCTTGCCTAAGAATTCTTTGACATGTAGATAGGGTTAGGTATTGTTTAGGTTTTATCCGATACCGGTGCCAAACCGATACTTTTGAAACTGTGCCGGTGCTAACTCCGGGTCCGATAACAGGCACCACACCCGCAGTAGATGTGCTCGGTGTGAGGTCTCACAGCAAGCTATCAAACACAACACATTTCTCGGCTTTTAAAAAAACGCTATGCGTCGCCAGGCGTGTCATCAGATTCGAGGTGTTACCTCCTTTGACAGTATCACAGTATCAGCTTAAAGCACTTGTTGCAGGCTGCTGAGTTTGCATCTTTTGCTGTGAAGTACAGCCAGACTTTTGACCACTTCGCCTTGGGCATTTTTAATCTGTAGCTCTGCTCTAAAAGAACGTATGTACCTGGGCCCACCTACTATCCTCAGAAACGTAAAATGATTGGCTAGAATCCAAAGTGTATGACATCTCAGGGGGGAAAAAAAAAGAACCACCGAAATAAAGCACCGAAATGTGCGCTGCTTTTCGGTCTGGTTACTACCATTTACCGGTACCCATCCCTACATGTAGACTGGAGGTGCTGGGAAGACTCCTCCAGTCTGGCAGACAGCCCAGCAACAGCCACTCCTTCGGCACATCTTACCAATCAGTCAAGTCTGGAGTGTAATGATTCGTGTGTTGAATGATGATACATGAATGTATGCCTTGCACAAACCAAGGTGGTAGAGAATCTTATTTATATACAGTACAAGACTGAACGTAAGTTTATATGTATGTAGATGTGTATGTGTAGGAGAAAAACCTCCTAACATATGGGTAAGACGCTGTTATGCATTCTAAATCATCCTCATATCCCTGACCATCCCATGAGGCCAATGGGAAATTAGGATTCAGTTGTCATTTCTTACAAAAATCTGCCCCAAAATAACAGGCGATCGTGGCTCAAGAGTTGGCAGTTCGTCATTTACCATTTGTAATCGGAAGGTTGCCGGTTCGAGCCCCGGCTCCGACAGTCTCGGTCGTTGTGTCCTTGGGCAAGACACTTCACCTGTTGCCTACTGGTGGTGGTCAGAGGGCCCGGTGGCGCCAGTGTCCGGCAGCCTCGCCTCTGTCAGTGCGCCCCAGGGTGGCTGTGGCTACAATGTAGCTGCCATCACCAGTGTTTGGATGTGTGCGTGAATGGGTGGATGACTGAACGTGTAAAGCGCTTTACAAATACAGGCCATTTACCATTTACCATAACAGTAACATTTTCTCTCATAGAGAGTTTATCAAAGAGTCGTTGGTAGACTCTGCCATGTTAATATACACTGATTTAAAAAAACAAAGCAAAAACAAAAAAGAAGCATTTGAGAATGTTTTCAAATTCACCATCTGGCCCTGAATGGACGGATGGATCTGGAGCTTCAGTTAATAAACAAGCAATTTTGACATTTTCTCCCTGGCTCTGGACTAGAGCTATGATGTCACAGCCCGCTGATTAGTTTTTGTAAGTAGGATAATGATAAAGTTTGTGATTACAGGAGAGCTAGCAGCAATGCAATCAATGAAAGGCACTGTGACAGAAAGTAAGTAGTTAAAGGAAGTGACCGGATAGGCCTGAATAGACTTGGACTGAAATGGGACAAACTGGCAGCTGTTACAACTGATGGTTGTCCAGATCTGAGAGGGAGAAGTTCTCAGATGCAGAATGGGCAGAATGGGAGTCGGATCCTGCATTTGCTGTTGTGATTATACTTAACGTTTTCACCTCAGACATTGAACCTGATACTAATGCACTTGTTCAAGCTTAGATAAGACTAGATTTCTCTTACCAAGCAAGAAAGAAGAACTGAGAAACTGCAGGTGAAGTTGTTAATTTACAAGCAAAATAATAATAGCACTTTCTTAAAAACTTTGATGCCTTCACTGTTCATGGAAACCTCAACATTGACATTTACCTGAAGCCAACACACACAGACCAGTATCTCCTCTTTGACTCCCACCATCCTCTAGAACACAAACTTGGAGTAATCAGGACCCTACAACACCGGGAAGAAAATGTTCCCTCTAAGCCAGAAGGGAAAGAAAGGGAACACACACATAAAGCAAGCCCAAACAGAAACAGAGTATGCTGTGTAATGCAGCGAGCAGTGCTCAGACCTCTACGTCTGCATTTAAAGGATAACGGTCACTCTTTCAAGGATGCCAATGTTCACATGGTTTAAAAAAGGAGTGTGATTGACTATGTTTGAACAGAGGTGGTGGCTTACAACACCAAGTGCCTCCTACAATGCAGTTTTGAGATCCCCTTCCGAGCACTTTAATCCCCACTAACATCTTGCATCAAACATCTTCAAGAAACTTGAAGATGTCCAGATGTTTTTCTTTCCAAGCTCCTTAGACTACCACATTTGACTGAGAGCCTACACACACATACAGTCAGACTAGCATGTAGAGTTCGACAGGTCTGTTCACCTGCAATTTATATGTGTGTGTGTGTGTGTGTGTGTGTGTGTGTGTGTGTGTGTGTGTTCCAGGCTCTGGAGGCTTTGGACAAGGCCCTGCAGCAGAATCCCAGTGACCTGACAGTGAGAGCAGAGCTATATTTTTCCAAAGGGAACCAGCTCAGAGAGATGAACCAGCTGGACCGAGCCTTTGAGGTACTACAATCTGCACTCTCTGTCACACACAGACTTATCATCTTTCCCCTCTCATATTTTTCTCTCTTTTTCTTCCTGTAAGCAACATGGATTTTCTGTAGCTGCTAATGATGACTCTCTGTCTTTGTTTGATTCTGTGATGCAAACAGTAATGTACAGGGTTCGTATGGGTGTTTGAAATCCTTGAAAATGCTTGAATTTTAATGTTGTCTTTTCAAGGTTTTGAAAAGTGCTTGAATTCAAGATGTGGTGCTTAAAAGTGCTTGAATTTGACCCCGAAAATGTATGAACCCTGAATGTAAGAAACGATGCCAGGTACAAAATTACATGGTCTGCAACTGTGCTTAATGCTAACTCAGTCACTTTTACTTTTACTTTTAAACAAAGTATTTTTCTGGTCTGGGCTAATCTTCTCAAGATATTTACAACAAATCACTAAATTTGATCAGCAAAACTGTTTTTTAGACTCACAAATCAAAGCAAAATCAAGTTGTCTTGTAGAGTGTTTTTCCTCCCACTACAGCAGGGGTGGCGAATTGAGGGCCGGTGTCCTGCAGGTTTTAGATGTGTCCTTGGTCCAACACAGCTGATTCAAATGGCTAAATGACCTCTCACATGCTTGAGTTCAAGGCCTGTAACATCATCTTGAGTGTGGACCCATGGAACGCTAGGACTGCCATAATGAATTAATTAAATACACCATTAAATAATTAATTAAATGTGGCAATAATTAATAAAAATTGGAAATAATTAATTTAATTACTTAATTACACATTAAATTAATTATATTGACACATTTAATTAATTATTTATTTCACATTTTAATTAATTATTGCCACATTTAAATAATTATTTAATGGTGTATTTAATTAATTCATTTTGGCACAGTTGACTCCTTCAGGTCTCACCATGAAATAATTTTATCTGTCAGCCTCACCCATCAAACTCAGGGGGCGGGGTTAACGCTGATCGAGTCAAAACCATTGCTTTGGCCTGGTGGCCATTGTTTCTAGCACACAACAACCGGCATGTGGAAGCTAACAGAACTGAACTTTGAAAAACCCTGTTTGTGTGTCACCAAATACCGTTTTAATATTTTTTTAGCCGAGAATGTAGTGGTTTAATCTTCATGTGTCTGGTCGGTTTGTCAAGATACAGCCTCTTTGCAAAAGTGCTTCGATGATTTCGGAGATGTCTGCCCAGTCTGACGGCAAAGCGTGGGATAGACCCGCTCGCCTCGCAAGCAATCGAGCTGTTATTGCCACTGGCAAAGCGCAGGCCTGGTACACAGCTGTAATAACCCCCGCTGACACTGACTTTTTTTACTGAGGTTATATTTATCGGAGTTTTATTTCCTGATGTTCTTATGTGTCCTACGTGTTTCAGTTGCCAATTCTGAATTATAACTAACATTAAAAACATGTTTAAGGAGAAGAGAGAGCAAATAAATTCAATTAACAGCTGATCTTTGGGTTTTTGTTCAGTAATCAGCGTTACCTGTGTATAAACGCATAAAAGAGATAACGTTGGTGTTTCTGTCATGTAGTAACTGCTGGCTTTAACTGTACAAAGGTTGTTCGACACTATGAAACACATACAGACTTCATGATGTTCGGCTAATATTTTTATTGTGAATATTAATCCTGGGGGTAAATGGCCCTGTACACCACGGAGCGAGGTCAGCATATCCACGATATCCTCAGCTCCATGAGTTAACAGAGTTTCCCAGCTGACTATCTAACTGTCATCTACGAATATGTCACGGCTCATATCAATATGATTTTACAGGAAATCATCCTTATTACTGCCAACTATTCAAGAGATGTGAAAATCTACAGCATAAAGAACACAAAAATATAGCAGTCTAACGCAACACTATAACAGATGAACCGTCAGTTTGTCGCAGATCAAAGTGATTGGTTGAACAGGTGTGATCTGTGTTTTCTGCATTTTCATCAGCGTAAGAGACTCAGCAGCAGATTAGAATAACAGTTATACATTTAATAAATCACAAAATTAACAAACCTGTTCGGACAGTTTGAGTTTGTATTCCCTCAGCTGCAGACTCGCCGTTGTTTAAATGTTTGAGAGAT